CCAGGCCAGATCCGAACGGCACGGGGGGTAGTCCCTGCAAGCAGAAGGTGGGCGTAAGAGGGAGACCACGGGCACGAGAGGGAGACCCAGGGGTGTAAGGGGGACACTAGTGCCCAAGTTCACCCCTCTCTTCCCTCCCTCCCTCCCCACTTCCAGGGGGACCCCACACAGCGTGGAGCAGACCGCAGGGGCCGATGCCAGCCCCCTGGCAGCATGCCCAGGGGCCCCCGGTGGCAGCCCCCACCTGCCTGCCCGAGGAGAGCCAGGCTGCGGCACGCTCAGCCCGGCCCCGGCGCTGCTGCCTCTCCCCAGCCCGGCACTCGTGGCCCCGGGGCTGCGGGCGGCCAGGGCCGGTCTGAGCAGAGCCCCGCGCCCCCAGCACGGGCACCCAGCCAGCCCGGGCAGCAGCGGCGGAGCCAAGGGGCAGGGTGCCAGCCCCTGCTGGGGTCTGAGGAACAGCACAGGACCAGAGGGGATTTCCAGAGCCCAGAGCGTGTAAGCCTGGGCCTCACTGCTGGCCACCCACCTCCGGGGACGGCGGGCAGGCAGGTGCAGGCAGTGGCTTGTGGGCCCCAAGCCCGGGGCGCCAGCCGGAGCAGAGGTCACCCCACCGGCGCCGGGCACTGACTCAGCCCCATGAGGCCAGCGCCGTGGGCGAGTGGGGGAAGCCGCCGAGCCCCAGGGCTGCAGACAATGAGGCGACTGTTCCACGACCGGCACCTCATGACCATGGCACAGCCCCCCCAGCCTCCCCGGCTGGGACCCACTCGGCGGGGAGGGGGGATGGCAGGGGGTGGTTACGGCGGCGCACGTGCAAGAGGGGTGGGGGACCGAGGTGGGGGAGCCCTAGGTTCCCCGCTGTCCGGCTCAAACCCCAGCCAGAAACCCGGGCGACCCCCTTCCCTGCCAAGCATCCTTCCCGAGCCAGCCAAGGACACAGCCAGCGGGACAGCAGCGGAGACGGAAAAGGAAGTCACAGGGCTCTGAAGTCACCTCTCGCACCCAAACACGCCCGAGCCGTCTGAGCCACGCTCAGCCAAGGGCAACACGTCTCAATGTCAGACACCGCTGGAGCTGCAGCCTGTGGCCCGGCCCCGTGGGACCGTGCGCTGCCAGCCCCGCCGGGCTTCCCCTGCCCTGTACGTGTCCCACGAGGGCTGCAGCCCACGGCCCGGGGAGGCAGAGCCCAGCCTCTGCCCCAGGGAAGCAGCAGGGAAGAGCTCTCCCCAGAGCCTGCTGCCACACAGGGTGTACAAGGGCAGGGTCACCGCACCTTGTACTGAGACACTTAAAGCAGCTGCCTCAGGCACAGGAAGGTCACCAGCACCTGCCCCGGTGTTGGAGCAGGCTCTGGGGCAGAGTCCCTGCCCCACTGCAGAGTCCCATCACACAGGACAGGGAATGCTATGTCTCTTTGGAAAACCTGGGTTTATTAACACACCGAGGTCCTACCTGTGCTTCCCGACCCCACGTCTCTCCCAGGGCATGGGCAGCCCGTCCCCTCGCAAAGGAGGTACCGCACTACGCTCCCCCTGGCAGAAACCCACCCCCCTCCCCCTCAAAAGATGCAGCCAGCGGGGGACAGCCCCCACACCCCACAGCGCTGGTGGAAGCCAGCAGCTCACCATGGGCACCTCAGCCCAGTTTGCCAGTCTCCCCAGCAGCTGCCTGGGGGAGAGGAGCCGTGGCGGGGCTGAAGAGGGAAGCACACAAGCCCTTGGTGACAAGCGCATTCCGTCCCAGCACAGGGGTGCGGCACGCACAGCTCCCGGTGCGCGGGCAGCTGGCACCAGGAAGGACTGGGCTGGCCCAGGAGCCATGGGTCACACCAGCCCCGGGGAGAACAAGGTTCCCACAGCAGCACAGCTAGGACAGGTGGCCAGACTGGGACACGTGTCAGGGCATCCCGCCCTTGCTGCAGCTTTCCACGAGGTCTCCACTTCTTTCCTGGCAGCCAAGCAGAGGTGGCCAATATTCCCAGGGGGCTCCCAGCCCCTGGCCGTGCTGTAGCAGCAATGTCCCTTCTTGAGCAGCAGGTAGCCACGAGGTCTGCCCCGCTCCCAGCGGGCAGCAAGGGTGAGGGAGGGCTGAGGGACTCCTGGTTCTGGGCTGACACCTTGGCAAGGCAGCGAGCTGGCCACGCAGCCCTGCCAGCTGGCACGGGAGATGCCAGAGCAGACAGGCAGGAGCCGACGGCCCCACGCTTCCCTTGGCGAGTCCTTCCCGGCAGTTTCTGTCCTGCCGCCCGACGTCTTCGTCGTGTAGCATCCTAGGACAGCGCGTGCCCCGGCAGCCCTGCGCCCGCAGCTGGCTGCACGCCCGTGCCTATCTCCAGCGGGTCTGGTAAATGAGCGGGTAGAAGACGTTCAGGAAGAGCGCGACAATTGCGGCCGTGGTGGCCAGGACGAAGTATCTGACGCAGCCTTCATCTGGGTGCTGGGGGGTGCCTGGACTCCGCTTCTGGCCACGGGGCCTCCAAGAGTTTCTTGCAGGCCTTTGGGGTGCCTCGAGCTGCAGCTCTTGTTCTTCAGCCTCCAGTTCCTGCCAGATCAGAGAAGCCTGCGATGTGGAAACCTGCGTCAGCACTTGGAGAACACAACGGGCAACACCCCTCGCCATCCCCCGGGGCAGGCGGGTGCCTGCGAGCCCAGCCCCGTGCCCAGCCAAGCCAGCCCGCCTCCCCATGCAGCGCGGTCACACCCGCCCCCGCGGCTCTTCGGGGTCTCCGGCGCGTGGGAGGTTCTGCCAAGGCAGGGTCTTCGCGGGGCCGCGGAGCGGGCAACCGGATCCCGACGGAGCCAATGCTCTGGCATTGGTGGGTCCAGGTGGCGAGGGGGGCAGGCGGCAGCCAATCACAGCCCAAGCTTTTGTGATCCCCACAGGATCTGTTCTGAGGATGGCCAATCCGGAGCCAGCTGGGGCGGCAGGAGCAGGAGGCGCGGTCGCAGCACAGCCAATCAGAGGTCTGCTTCAGTGGGTGGGGATGCTCCGACAGCCAATCATAGTCCAACTTCCAGGAGGATTATTCACAGGCAGCCAATCGCAGCCCAGCCCTTCACTGGGCTGGTGATCGTGTGGGGCAGCAGGTCTCCAGAGGGCACCCAGTGGCCTGGGAGGGTTTGGGTGGTCGGAGGGGCTCAGGGACCTGCTGAGCCCCGGCGGGATCCAGTGCACCCCAGTGGGATCCAGTGCACCCCAGCGCTGTGGGGAATCCAGCACCGTTGCGGGACCGATGAACCCGTGCTGGGTGGGTTACAGTGAGCCTCAGTGCTGCCCAGGCCCCTGGAGGGTCCCAATGCCAGCGTGGGATGCTTATCACAGCCTTCTCGTTACCCAGGCTACCCCCAGCAAGTGGGGCTGCTCCAGGACACGCAGAGTCCCCCCAGCACAGGAACAGCCTAGGCAGGCAGACATCAACGTGCCGGACACCACCTGGCCCCAGAGGTAGGGCTCCTGTCCCCCAGCTGAGAGGGAAGAGCGGGGATGCCTAACCAGTGCCAAGCCGAGGGCTGTGTGAGCCAGACAGGCCAGGGGGCCACGCCAGAAGGACCTGACGGGGCACACATGTGCCACCGTGCCAGAGATGAGATGAGCATCGTCCTCAATCCCTGCAGGGCCATGGGGGTGCTGAGCTCAGAGGGAAGAGCTGCAGCACAGTGATGCGGGGGGGCTCACCAGGTGGGTGCTGCATCGAGCCCCCCAGTCTGGGCCTTCACATCTGACGTTCACACAAAGACCAGCCCCACCGCTTCCCACCGGTGTGTGCCGAAAGCACCCTGCCGCCGGCTGGCCCACCCCTTCCCCTCCCAGGCGGCCCAGCAGCAGAGCTCGCTCTGGCAGGTTTCTCTTCAGCACCCTGCGGAGGCTGCCAGGCCTCTGGCTCAGCGCTGGCATTTGCCTTTTTTGCACCTAGCTTGGCCCCGAGCTGGGCCCCAGCAGAAAGCGTCCCCCACCCTGCCTCGAGAGCAGCTGCGGAGGGCAGGTTCTCACCGCTCCCCGGCACAGCCAGCTCCTGCTGCACCGCTCACAGCCTTCCCTCGGTGCAGACCCCGGTGAGGCCGAGCCCCCTTCCTGCCTCCTCCAGTGCCCTCCCACCAGCACACCCCACCCTGACGACAGGAACCAGCTCTCCTATGGTCCCTCGGGGCAGGGACCAACCCAAGCACACAGCAAGAACAGGGCAAGACAGCCCCCAAGGCTTGGCAGACACAAGCTCTTCGGTGTTGAAGAGGGGCAGGCACCACACCGCAGCTGCGCCAGGCTCTGTAAGTGCTGGCAGAGTCGGGCTGGGCCCTGCGTGTGGGCACCTCGGCATGTTTCACAGCTCTGTGGCTCCAACAGTGCCAAAAAGGACGCAAGCTCTCACCTGGGTAGCAGCAGCTTCCGCAGAGGGGGTGCGCTCAGCTCGGTGGTCTGGGGGGTGCCCTGGCAGGGGTCTCTCCACAGGAGAGTTCCTCCGGCGGTAGAAGAGGACATACGCGTATCTGGTTACCACCTGACTCTCGTCCACGGTGGTGACTGTGCTGTCATCGAAGAGCCGCCAGCCTGAGAAGAGAGAAGGGTTAAGCAAGGAGAGAGGCCACAGCTGCAGGAGAGGTGGGGCGGCGAGGCCGGCAGATCCTCACCCACGTCGCTGCGCTGGCTGTTCTTGTCGTTGGGCAGGCGGGCGTACGCCGTGTAGTGCCCCCCAATCATCCCTCCGTAGTGGTTGATGACAGCGTACAAGTCGTACATGGGCAGCTGCTGCTCGCCCTTACGGCCGATGCAGAACTTGCTCAGGTCCAGGCTCCTGGGGATAGACAGGGGGAAAAGTCACGGCAGTCGACGTTAGGCAGGGGGAGACCAGACTGCAGGGCAGCCCAGGCACTTCATCCCCCAGGCTCTCACCGGACGGGGAAGTCCACCATGTCATTGATCTTGTCCCTCCAAATAAAGCTGCGGAAGGAGAAGCGCTTGAGCTGGATGATGAGGACATTGGGCAGGCGCCACAGCATCAGCTGCTTGGAGGCCTCACGGTGCTGCTTGCACTTGGGGCAGTACCTGGGGGAAGAGTGTGCTCGTTACCGGTGCGAGGAGAGCCCCAGGCCTCAAAGCCCAGCCCAGCCCCAAGGTCCCCCCAACATGTGGGGCTGGCAGAGGGGATGTGGGAGGTCTCAGCCTCCCTTGCCAGGGCAGGCCAGCACAGCTCTGTGAAGCGCTGGCATTGCTCCCTGCTGGCTTCTAGCCTCCCTCCCCAGAGCACAGGGAAGGCCAGCCCAACGCTCCTGGCTGCCAGAAGAAACGGCGTACAGGCCCAGGCAGCTCCCGGGAAACCCCCACTGCTGTCTGAGCTCACGGCCTGGAACCCACCCTGCCACCTTCCTCACCATGCTTCCTCTGGGGCCAGGACTTCGGGCTTGGTGAAGAGATTGAGGCACTGCTCCAGGGTGAAGTGGCCAGCCCGGGCTGCTTCGCTGGCCGAGCCCGGGTCCTCCACACACTCCAGCTCCTTGGATTCCACCAACACAAACTCCTTGAGGCGCTCATTGTTCTTCCACACCAGGGCAAGGGAGCAGTCATCTGTCAGGTCCAGGGGGGTGTCACCTGCGAAGGGGCACACATCTCACACGCCTGCCCTGTCAGGCTACACCAGGCCACCCTGCTGGAACAGTCTTGCCTTCCCCAATAGATCAATCATGTAGCACTGCCAGGATGGGACAAGTGCCCCTGTGGGGCACCCGCACTGTCTGGTTCACCACCCCAGGGTGTCACAAGCCCACAGCCAGTGGGGCAAGGCAGACACAAACTCTCTCAGCAGCAGCAACATAACCAGCACCAGATATGGGTATCCCATTCAGACATGATGTGACTGAGAGATCAAAAACCCTCTGTGGATACAGGCATTTGAAGGGAATTGGTCTATTTGCCGAGGAGAGGAGCAATGTCACGTCCAAGAAGAGCTTCTAGGCAGCACCTCTGTGCAGCCAAGCCCTGACCTTCACTGTGCCAGATGCAGCTTATCCAGCCCAGAGCCATTGTCACACCTGGGTTCACTTGTGCCATGCAGACCCTGGCATCCTGGCCAGGCAGAGCCACCACCCTGCCAGGGATGAAAGTGGCACCTTCTGGGCTCACCTTTATCTTCCAGCTTGTGCTCTCGGTTGGCGGCATCAATCTTGTTGATGTAGAACTGCGTGGCGCGGGCACTCAGCGAGTCTGGAGTGTGTTGGTACCCAGGGATGGCAGCTGTGGACAAGCAGGGACAGATCCATGGTGGCACTGCCTGTCTGCCCTGCGTAGGGGCCAAGAATTTGCAGTGCCCCCACCCCCACCTCACATGCTACGGCCTTGCAGGGACACAACCACGTGCCCCGTGTCCTTGACTATTTTTAGCAGGCGTCTGCCCCTGGCAAGCTGTGCTCCTCTGCCTGCCTTGCCCCTTCACTGCACATTGCTGCCATCCTGAGACGAGTGTCTGGAAACGTGACAGCCAGGCAGCCGAGCGCGAGAGGCTGCTCCCGTGCAGCTGAGTCAGAGCGAGGGAAACGCTGCGCTCACAGCCCTGAGGGGCTCAGCCCTCCCACAGGACTCGGAGGCTTCTGCCAGCCCCTGCCTTCCCACCCCTCCCACAACATCACAACACTCCGGCCTCCTTCCTAGTCAAGTCTCTGCTCTGCCCCGTGGGCCCTGTCAAAGCAAGGCAGAGGATGGGCAGACAGGCATTTCAGGTGGGGCAGCACTGCCAAAACACAGCTCCCAGGGCCTCAAATATGTCCCCAGGGGGACTCTGGACCAAGCTCACAAGGGAAGAAAAGATGCTGTGGTGGAAGGTCATCCCAAGGAGGGAGAATTGCTCCTGTTTTGTCTTGGGTCTGCTGGGGGCTCTGGGCACAGAAGATGGTTAGTACCACAACACCTCTTACCTTCTGGCTTGAGGGCTCTCTCATAGGACGGCTCCTTCTCGCAACAGCTGTCGCTCTGCGACTCCATGTGCTCAGAGAAGCCTGAATCCAAGCTCAGCAGGGAACTCCTGGCTGCCAGGACCTTGCTCCGGACAGTGCCGGTGTCCCCCAGCTCTGGGTGCAGCTCAGGAACAGCCGGCGAGAGCGGAGGTTCCTGCAGGAGGCTGGAAGCCCTGTCCTCGTCCCCCAGCTCAGGGACAGAGGTGGCTGCTGCACAGCTGCTCTTGGCCAGAGGCTCCAGCTTGTCCGGGAGCAGAGGCTGCAGCCCCTGCTCCGGTGACATCCGGCCCAGCTGGAACGGAGGCTGGAACACGCTGACCGAGTACCTGGGCAAGGAGATGGCAGTCAGAGCCAGCCAGGCACAGGGCTGAGCTCCACCGCAGGGCAGAAGCACCCTCCTTCCCTGCACCCTCACCTTGCATAGCCCTCCAGCAGCTGGGCCAGGCGGGCGTAAGTGAGGCGGGACTCGGGCACGCTGATGATGAAGGGGAAACCGATGTTCTCTGGGCGGCACAAAGCCTTGTGGTCTGGCCAGTGTGTTTTCTGACATACCCTGTAACACACAGAGTCCCAGGTGAACCCAGCACCCCCAACCACCCTGGGCAGGATCACGGCAGGGCCAGAAAGTGGGGAACCAGACTAGCTCCCTCCCAAAGGCCCATCCCATCCCACCTCCTCCCAGTGGACCGAGCTCTCCCATCCAGCCCTTAAAGGCAGAAGACCCTCCCTCCCTGCCAGGCCCCAAGCCAACTCACACGTTGCAGTAACCGACTCGATAGCACCTCGTGCAGCGCTTGAGCTTCTCATCCTCAGGCAGCTGCTTCTTCTGGCAGGCAGCACACTTGGCGATGGGGCCGCTGGGCACCTGCGGACGCTGCAGGAGAAAGGACCCATTGGGCAGGAGAAGGCACCCTTGGTGGGCAACCGTGCTCGATGCAGCTTGTCACCCTTGCATGCAGCTCTCCCCTCCTGCTCAGCCCCACTTGCAGGCTCAGCACTGCGTGCCTCCCGGCAGTCCCAATATTCCCTCTTACCTGCTGGACCTGCAGCTCCACCACCCGCTCCTTGGCCAGCTCTGGGGACAGCACCTCGAAGCAGAGCAGCAGGTCCGTGGGGGAGACTGCGTCCAGCGAGTTGGACGGCAGGAACATGCGGTGGAAGCGATTCTTGACCACCTGCCAGGAAAGCAGTGGAGCGGGACCACGTGAGGGCTGCCCCACACTTCTGAGAAAGCCACAGACCTCGACCCCACAATGAGCTGCAGGATCAGCAGCACCACACCACCCACCAGGGGAGGATGGACATCTCTTGCCATATTATAGTGGCCCAGCGCTCCTAGTAGGCCTCTACCTGGCAGCACCCTGTGCAGGACACTGCCACCATGGACAAAATCTGTCCCATTGACATGCTGGATATGGGCAAGTGACTCAGTGGCCATATTCCCTGCAGAGCTGTAGGAGCCGGGGCACCCACAGGAGCAGCTCATGGCTTGCTCCCCAGCTGGGGCACTCTCACCTCTGCCAGGCGTAGGTTCTCTGGTTTCACACGCACGCTGTGGGCCACCGAGTCGAGTACCTCCATGGCACTGGAGTTCTCCTTGCTGATACTCACGAGGAACTGCCAGCAAGAAAATGCCCCATCAGTCACAGCACACCAAGGTACTTAACTCAGCCCCTTAGCACACGTTCAGCTGCCTGGGGCACCTCCAGGAGCCCTCTCAGGCTCTCACCCCTGAGTAGATAGTGTCATTTACCTTGATCGGTTTCTTGTGCGGCTCCTTTGCAAAGTAGTAGACAGTCAGCACCTTCTGCTTTTGTGGGAGAGGCACGGGGAGGTACAGGAAGGGGTCGAAGGTGATGGACACCTGCAGATGTGAGAGCACACAGTTGTGGGAAGTGCTTGTAGCTGAGCAGCCCCAGCAGACCTGAGATCCAGCCTTGTCCTCTGGCCTGTGCTCTCTGAGGGTCAGAGCCTGCTGCTGCACAGCCAGAACAGGGACAGAGCCTCCAAGGCTGCCCTACCTTTGAACACACTGGGCACACCAGCTTGGATTTGTACTGGCCCTGGAAAAGGTCCACAATGAAAGAGTCGTTTCTCATCTTGTGTCGCTGCCAGGCCTCCTCAGCTACCACCTGCGGGGAGAGAGGGTTCAGAACTACACTAAACCACCCAGGCCAGGGCTGCTCCCTCAGTGGCTTTAGAGGAGGGATGTCCTCACCTCATCAGGCCTTCCATCTGAGTCAACAGTTTCTGTATAGGGCTTGTTCTGGATGCGGTTGAGGTCCTCGTGCAGGCCATCAAGCAAAAAGGCCATGAACTCCTGAGCATCATGCTGGGCATAGCCAGTGAACTGGCTAGCCTTGCTGGCCACGATTGCCTGGGGGGAGCACAGAAGTCAGGGCTGGCCAGCAGCCCCCTGGCAGCACCGCCTGTCCCATGCACAAAGCCTGGCTGCACCCACCCACACCCACCTAGCTCTCAGCAGCGCTAGCAGGGCATCCAGGTGCCCAGAGAGGAGTGGTAAGGACCCACAGCAGCTCCTGTGTAGCACTGGTGCCTGCGGCCTTACCTTTAGTTTGGAGGGCTGGAAGGCATGGTGCGTGCCCTTCCACAGCGCTCGCAGCAGCATGGCAAAGCCGATGGCCAGGCGTCCCCCTGTCCCCAGTGGGTTGTTGTAGTTGATTTCTGACTCAAAGGACCGATCTGTAAGAGACACAGGAGAGTGAGGGTGACACTGGCTGCACCATCTGAGCAGCAGGGCTCTGCTGGGCTCCCGGTGTGGGCTCACCATGGAAGTAGTCGCGCAGCTCCCGGGTGTTGGACAGGGACTGGATGACGCTATTCATGAAGCAGGTGTTGCCAAGGTTCACCAGCCCCGTGAAGCCAGGCAAGCACACCTTCTTCTTCTCGTCCTCATCCTCATCATCCTCCACGCTCTCGGTGCTCACAGGGCTGTGTGTCATTGGTGGCACCATGCATGTCGGTTTGGGCTGCCAAAGCAAAGGTGGGTGTGAGGGTGCTGCACACAGGGAGCCTCTCTGGGAACACCAGGGAAACCAAAAGCCCAAAGCACCCCTCAGACGTGACTGGGCTGAAGCCATCACACCGTCTCCCACCAGGACTGGCATAGACAGGCCAACTGCTGTCCCCAATCCTGCCAGCTCTGATGGCGGAGTGCTGCCTCCTCCTCCAGGAATAGTTCGCGAGTCCTCAAAGCAACACCAAGGAGGTGGGGTCCCACGAGAGGGACAAGTGGGTCTCCCTTTCACCCTGCCGCCCTACCCAACGCAACCCTACTCACCGACGGGATGTGTGGCTCTTGCTTTACTGCCACATGCTCTGGGGCCGTACGAGCTGCCACACCATCCAGACCCCCATCTTCCACTCGTGGCTTCTCTTTGTCGCTGGCTCGGGCCTCCTCCTTGCTGGACAGGGGGTGCTGGTTACTGCCAGGGGGGTTCTTGTCCAGAGGGGTAGGGCCTGTAGGCATGGCAACCTTTGCACCACCCACTGCACCTTAAAAAGGGGGAAGGGTGGGCCTGTGGTTAGCAGCACCATGCGCTGCCCACGGCAGGGCTGAGCCACTCAGTCCATGCTCACACACAGGCTCTCTCCTACCCAACTTCCATGTGAGCAAGGGGAACGGCCATGCCCTTCCCCTAGAGCTTGGCTCACCCTGCCCTACACCCCTCCTGCTTGCACCCGCTCAGCCCCTCTCCGTCCCCACAACCCCTCGCTGGAGGATCTGGCACCATCCAGCTGCTGCCAGCGGTGAGGAGGGCCCCTGCCCCGCTGGGGTGCAGAAGGCAGGCAAGACAAAAACGCAGGGTGCAGACCTCGTGTGGCTGGAGCCTCCAGACCCCCCCAGCGCTGGCTCTGGCGTTTCTTCAAGGAAACGTCAATGCGAGACACCGTGAAGTTGTATGTGCACTGGTCCGGCTCAATAAGGTTCCTGCAAGACACACAGCAAGTCAGGGATGCCCCAGACCCCCCAGCAGCCTCAGACACGCCAAAGCCTCTGGAAGGTGGGGCCATGGCCTCCAGGCAGTAGGGACCCAGCTAGAACCATTCCTGAGGTAGCTCTGGCAAACCAGGATGGAAACCCTCGAGCCTGGCTGCACTGCACACACAAAGGGCCCCTTTCCTGGCCGATCCATTCTCCACATGCCCCTCCCACTGGACATCCCACCCAAAGAGCACATAGGCTGGTCTGGCTCTGTCCTCAAGAGCTCTGGAACAGGCTTGGGGGCAGCGGGGGGGGAACCGTGGGCAAGGAGGCACTGGGATTTCCTCCCCTGCAGGCCACCACACAGAGCCAAGGCAGCTCAGGCTTGTGGCATTAGTGCAGCATGGTGTAAGGGAGACCCCCAGGTGCAGAAATGAGCATTCCTTGCACAGACCCACCAGCCAGGACTGGCTCCTGCTCCTGCTGAGAGCTGCACTCTCAGCTCCCTTGCCCCAGTGCAAGCTAAGAGGATGGGAGCCATACCTGAGCTTCACCTGCCACCGGAACACTGTGTGGGGCCCACAGCCAGGATGGAGGCGAAGGAAGTTTGTGTCACTGCAAAGAAATTGGGAGTGAGAAATTAGTGAGAAGAAGAGAGTAAATAGCCTGACCACAGTCAGGTGCTCTGCAGCAGCCTGGCACCGTCCCCAGGCATGCCCGTACCTCGTCTGGAACACCAGCGTGAAGTCTTGCTCCCGGAACAACACCTTGGACGTTTCCTTGTGGATCTCCTTCACGTAGACATGCACCACCACCAGGTCATTGCCCTTTTCATACGAGTCATTCTTGACAAAGCTCAGGCTCACAAAAGGCTCTGGCTCTGAGCAAGGAAAGCCATGGAGAGAGACATTACTTTCTCTGCACGCCGAGGCAGCACTGCAGACTGACCCAGGAGAGGTCCCAAGCAGATGGACTTTCCCAACCAGGCTGACCCCTGGGCTCCAGCCACTCACCATCAGCCGCTGCTTCCAGAGCCACATCATCCTTGGACCAGTCCCTCTTCTCACCGTCTCTGCCCAGGGGAGGGGTGGCCACTGGGACAGCCTTAGAGCTCTCTCCCAGGACAGGCGTGCAGTCCCGGCCCCGCAAGGCCTCAGCAGGGCTGCCTGGCTGCAGGACCCTCTTCTCCACACAGGTGGCAACCCGGTGGGGGAACACCTCTGTGGTAGCTGCAAGAGGTGGCATCTCCACGGGAACAGTCTCCTTGGTCAAAACCACAGCCTTTCAAGACAGATGGACGTGGTGAAAAACGGACAATGTCACCCCCAAGCTGCCCCGGCTCACCCACTATGACTCCTGCCAGCCAGGGGGGCACAGCCCCACACCACCCGCTTCAACCCCACATCCCATGCTCAGCTCAGCCTCATTATCACCAGAGCACATGCTCAGCCCAGTGACTGTGAGGTCCTCATGTCACCCTCTCCTTTCCCACAGCCAGGCCCATGCCAGCCCCCAGCACCACCCATGGAACCCCAGAGTCTATTTCATTGGCACTGATAGGTCCCTGTGCAAGCAGCATCCTCTGTGTGGGGGCTGAGGAAGCAGGGGTGCCCCATTCAGCTGGGTCCTAGGTACCTTCTCCAGTGGCGGTGCGAGGTCCGTGAGGGCTGTAGGTCCATCCACCTGGCTGGTTCTGCCATTGCGGCGGCTGCCTGTCCTCCCGCTGTGCCCTTTGCTGGGCTCCACGCTCCCAGTGACTCTGGCATTTGGCTCTTCTTCAGTGGGAGCCACTTTGAGGTATACTGCCCGCTTGGCGCTGGGGCCGCTCTGTGTCCCTGGGCTGCCTGGGCTTTTCCCTCCCAGGGCCTCGCTTCTTGCCGGAGCGCGCTTGGGGTTGGAGGGCTCCCGCCGGGACCTGGGTGGCTCTGTGCCTTCAGCCCTCAGCTCTTCAGGGGCCAGCTCTGTAGAAGCAGCTTTCTCCTTCCCATTCTCCCAGCACGCGGCCCCTTTGGCCAGCTCTTTGGATCCGTCTTTCCTTTTTTTCTGTGAAAAGCAGTGCAGCACAGTGGGAAGGTATCCAGGCAGCAGCACCTCTCACGCTCTTTGCCAGCCCTTTACATTCACTTCCCCTTCCCCGAATGCACTAGGGTTCTGCTACAGAACCTGGAGGCTATGTGGTAGGCAGGAACAGGGATACGATCACACCCCCCTCCCTGGGACAAAGGCAGCTGGCTCACTGCCCTCAGGAAGCACGTGGATGCAGGATGTGCCCCACATTGCTCCCTGACCAGCTCAAGAGCAGGGAGTGAAACCCTCCCCCCAGCTCCATAAGCTCCCTTCAAATGGCAGATCCTCCCCTTCTCACCAGAAGCGAAGTCCAGTTGTGCAGTGGTATCTTCTTCTGAAGCACAAGGTGTAGAAAGTTGCCCTTCTTGCACTGGATCTTGCTGCAGGAGCCCTCAATCTCCTCGTAGAACTGACAGCTCCACTGGCGCCCATCTGCAAGCAGAGAGTAACCGGCGTCTCAGGCAGCGCTCCAGAGAGCTGTCACCTAACCACAGCCCCTTTCACCTGCCCCAAGGATCACTCGTCCAGAGCCAAGGAGGCTGCAGGCAGACTGCCACCATACCCCAGGAGCCTTCAGGGTATAATGCCAGCTTCCCTGGATTTGCTTTGTACATCTGGCTGGCCTCCTTCCCAGAGGGAAGGCCCTGGGCCTCTCTGCCCTCAGGGGCACAGTCACTTTTCCAAGGGGTACCCAAGGCCGACTCAGTCATCCCAGCGAGCAGGGGACAGAAATGCACCAGCACAGCAGTCAGTGGGCGCTTGCTCACTTGGCACAGATGCCAGCTCCTGCCCTCCTCAGCTCTACACCCTTCTTCTTTTAGACTGCTCTCCTATGGGCCCTGCCTGCTGGCTGAGGCTGTGCCAGCTGACAGCAGGGCACTGCCTCCGAAGGGAAGGTTTTTGGATCAGCCCCACGTCTAACTGTGCCAAGCCCTGCTGAAGAAACGCCTGCAGCAGTCCCTCTACTCCCCATACCTGGTAGTTTGAGCAAACAGTCCTTGTCGGTGAAAGACGCGTGCACATCCTCCACCTTCAGAGCTCCACTGCCCAAGTTCAGCTTGACAATGATCTCATCAGCGTTCTGCTTCCAGTCCAGCAGCAGCTCTAGGAAGAGGGAGGGAAGCGTCACCCACGCGCTGGGGCATGAGCCTGCAGTGCCCACTCTTTGGCTGGGAAACAAGAGCCTGAACGCACACTCAGTACAAGGAGGTCAACGCAGGGAGCACAGACCATGCCAGTCAAATGGACACTCACAACTTGCTCTCATCAGAGAGGCCACAAACTGTTGTGGCAGGGCAGGTGAGTCCTGGTGGGAACCAGAGAGATCAGAAAGGCAGAGCTGCTCTCGGCCCTGTCACGTGCAGCAGCAGCAGCAGCTGGGAAGAAGGGGTGGCTCCTGCCAACTACAAAGTAATTGCTGCTTTCCCCAGGGAACGAGGAAGCCACAGAATTACTCCAGGGGATTCAAGTGGACTCTGCCCACAACCAGAAATTACCACTTCCTCTTTGCATATGCAAACTAAGCAGCCTAGCTGTAATCACCAAAGCACCATACTCCTGCCAGGTGAGCACTGTTACCTCGGCTGAAACATGGGTGGGTTGGCCAGCCGGGCAAGCAGGCCACAGCCAGGGAGAAAATGGTGTGGCAGTGTCACTCCACTGCAGGCAGAACCCCCACCAGGTGTTTGCCAGGCTCCAGGTCTGGCCCTGTGGTGTTCTGAAGTCTTCAAGGCAAAAAGGTGATTTCAATCACCTTCATTTCAGCCGGGTTCTTTCTGCCCTCTGTGGCATAAGGATATCCTGCTCCATCTGCCCTCAAAGCAGGCCTGGACCAGGCAGAAACCAGCCAGCAGCACTCGCTGGGTGACACAGATTGAGATTTTCCCAGCCCAGCTCCCTGCTTAAAAACAAGCAGGACAGATGGGGGCATCAAGACAGCAAGACATCCCAGGACTGTGCTCAGCAGCACTGTGACACCTGAGTCACAAGCAGCCTGCCATGTGCTCAGGGCCTCCTTGCAGACAGCCCTTCCCAGCCACGTGCATCCTTCTCGGCCCCTGGGAAGGCTGCATCCTGTTAAAGACAAACGCTGTGGCAAGGAGCACTCAGGTTAGTTCTGCTCAATGCTAGAGCATGGGACAACGACAAGGTGAGAGCTTCAGATCCCTCGGCAAGGGCACACCATGGCCATGCACTGACAGCCAGCACACACCTTGACTTACCCTCCTCTGAGTCCTTCTCCTGGGCAGTCTCAGCCTGCTTGAGCTCAGGGCGAGACACTGGTGGGCAGAGAAGCAGAGCGTGGGCAGGTCTGTCATTCAGTCACCTCAGAGCATGGGCCGGCAAGCTGATGCCCAAAATCTCACTCGTCACCTCCTTATCCCCCAAAACCTCTGTCTAGGCCTTTCATGCTGCATGTGCTGCTCATTTCCCTGCTCTGCTTCCTCACACCTCTCCCTCCCCGAGACCCCTTCTGCCTGCAGCACCACAGCAAGTGAGCCCCCAGCACAACTGCTCTGGACCACACCACCATATCTCAGTCTAACCACCACCACAGTAGAAGCAACACAACATCACTGCACTGCGCAGACAGCACTGCTTTGAGGCATGTCTCGGTGTCGGGCTTGTGGCAACCGGGCTGTGTGCCCCGGCTCAGCGCACCAGGCCCTCAGCCTCCAGCCGTACAGAAGAGTCCTGCCTTGAGCTGACAAGGAGAACCTGATGTTTAGTATTGACTTAAACCAATTCTGCTGTAATGAGAGAACCACGTAGCCCAGCTGCACTTTAGCATTCCTATTTCTGCACAAGCTGCCAATGTCCACAGCCAAAACCTCCTTCCAGATCAGGCTGAGGAGCCAAACCAACCTGATACCTAATCCCTGCTCCCCGCAGGATTACCTCCAACAGCCAGAAGTGTCTCAAAGCCTGCTCCACCCCCACAAGGCAGTGAGCTCTGCCAGGCAAGGGGCTCAAAGCAACAGCACCTTGTTCTGGAGCAGAGAAACAGCAGCAACGGGAGCTGTGGCCTCCACCTTGGAACACCCAGAGGGCTGTCGCTGCCTCCCTTCATGGGCTACAAAACAGCAGGAAACCTCTGCTGACCATCACAGTCACTGCTGCAAAGGTGCCGGTGGGGCTGGCAGTGTGAGAAGCTTGCTCTGGCCCCTCGCCACCCCTGCACAGAGGGGACAGAGGCAGCATGGCTGCCCCGCAGCCCCTCAGAAAGTAGGGGCATGGGACCCTTGCATCACAAGGTACGGAGGGTCAGGCCTTGCCAGAGATACAGCACACCTCCCGTGTGAGAGGAGGCACAACGCTACACTCTCTGCACTGGAGGGGTTTGCATCAGGGACTGTAGCCGGCCGTTCCAGCACAGACCTCAGCAAGCGCTCGTTTACCTTGGCCTATAAAACACCCTGTGATTTTGAGGTTACAACAATCATAACGGAGCAGGCACAGAAATCAAGCAATTTTCCAGGGCCGCAGGAACTCTTGCCTGTATCCTGCCCGCAGGCATTCCCTGCTCCACACCAGAGCCTGCACCTGAAGCATCGCTTTTGTCATCGGATACACAGCAGCTACAGAGGGAATTACTGCACAGCAACTATTTCACTTGAGCCACACCTTGCCCTGACACAGAAGCTAAAGCACCAGCTCCACCCACAGGCCCCGCACTCAGCGGGCACTGGCATCTGGCCTCGGCAAACCGATGGGGAAGCAGCACTGCCTCCAGCTGCAAGAGCACCTGCAGGCTTCAGTCTCACTGCCTCTGAGTCAGGGCAGCTCTGCCTCAGCCAAAAGCAGGGTCCAGAAACAACCACCGAGGCCAACTCCAGGCTTAAACTAACAGAGCCATAGGTCCGACCTTCCTCACATAGCCAGGGCTAAGTAACGCCCAAAGGAAGGAGGTTACAGGTCCAGGGAGGACACTCTGCTGAAGAGGATCCCACATCAGATGGTTTACCATCAGCTGCAGGAAGCGATTAGTTAAATCTGCTTATCCTGCAGCAGATGGCTGCAAGGCTCCCACCCTGCAGGGCTGAGAAACCATGGGCCTGCTCGTCGCAGCACTGCCGAGGGGCTCTCACCTTCCTTGCTCTCCTGGTTGGCTCGATCCTTCTGCTTCTTCTTGTTGGTGGCATCATCCAAGCCCCGAGACACTCTCCTCTGGCCAGGGGCATTGGTGCTGCTGGACATTTTCAGCCGTTTGGAGGACACAAACGGCCCGCCGGGGTCGGTAATGGAGTCTGGGTCAGGGGTGCGACGTTTTCTTCCTGGCCCAGCTATCTTGGCGACTCTCTGTGGTCAAACTCTCTGGCAAGGAACTAGTGGCCTAAAGAGAGGAGAGAGCAAGCATGGCAGGAGGATTGGGTGGAGAAGGCCCAACAGCATCAGGATCCACTCTCTGCCCCAGCGCCAGGCCCTCACAGGGCCAGTGCCCTGACATGACCTTCACTGCCGTGTTTACGGGAAGCCCCACACGGTGCTTGGTGAGGAAACCTACCTCATCACAGCTGTTACAATGCTTACTGCCAAAAGCATGGGCTTGTCAGAGCTCCCAAGATACAACCAGGGGTCTTCTGTATGTGGCACTCATTAAAAACCTGGAAAGCAATTGTCATGCTCATGGCTCCCACTACAGCAACACTGGCCCAGAGGAGCCGCCGGCTCTAACACCCAGAGGCAGAGCCGAGGGTGAGGATATGGGGAGGCCCCAATCGGCAAAATCGAGCCTCCAGGGTCAACGGGGCAGCCTGCCCCATAGCTCAGGGAGGCAGCTATTTCAGTCAAACAGTGCCCCGTGTAAGAGGGCAGGAACAGGAGCGAGTAACACCCTAAGAAGGAAGGAAAGGGAGAAGCAGGAGCAGGCCTGGGACAGCCTCCCGTGACAGATGACAGCAGAGCTCCCTGGCAAGAGAAGAGTTCCTCCTCCTCCGCCCACCAGCTGGGAGCTTAACCAGCACGACTGCACCTTGCATATTCATCTCCCCTCTGGTTTACAGACAGCATCAGCAGGGCCTGGCCTGGAAACAGGACACCTCTGCTTTGCTGGCCCCAGGGAAAAGGCAGGGCAGGCAGGGCACTCGCCCCTGCCCCCTTCGACTTGCCCTCCCAGGCAGAGCCAGCTCCCTTAAAGGGTTTGGGAGCTGCTAGCCCAGGGGCTGCTCTCAGTTTCGCTCTCCAGTTTCACTCTCGGGTGTTTACGGCTTCCATAGAGGAGAGCTAAAATAACTCACTGAAGATGGTCCCATTTGAGGCGCCTCCGTGGAGGTAGCGAAAGCGGAGAGCTGGGAAGGCTTTTTCCCCTCACCCTGACCCCATTAGCGCTCACAGGTCTGCTGGGGTTTGCTGCGGGAGAGCAGGCCCAGCCACACGGATCCTGCCCACCCCCAGGTGCCAGCAGCAGCTCCCAGTGCACTGATTCACAACCCATCCCACGGCCCTGCTCCCGTCTGAGGACACAGAGCTGAGCCTAACAGCTTCTCGGTCTAGCCCAGCTCCACTGAGCCCGCCTCTCCCTCAGGAATTCCCCGTGCCCTCGGGAATAGCTTTTCCTGCCCTCACCCAGGCACAGACCCCACAACTCTGCTTGGGCACAGCTGGGGAGAGGAGGCACCTCCAAGGGAAGTGCTCGGTTGAACTGAGTGTACTGGCAGCTCTGCAGGGTGTTTTTGTGTTCTAGAAACACTCAGGGCAATAGGTAGCCACAAACATGGGAGTCGTAGCCACAAACTGCAAGGAAGTCCAGAGAGCAAAGCAATCCTGCCCTGCCCTCAGCTCTGGCAAAGCTAGCCCTATAACAGGCACCGAGCCCAACCCCTTTATCTTCAGGCCAACCCGCCCTTGTAACCAAGAGCCACCGAAGCCAAGCGAAAAGCTCAAGCACGGAGTCCAGCCCGGTCGCCTGGCACAGGCAACACCCACTACCCATGGTGGAAGGGCCCAAAACAACCTTGAGACAGGGATGCTGAGCAGGGCCCAGCATCAGCCCCAGAAAGCTTGAAAGAGTGTGGGAGGACAGCAGTGCCACCCACCAGCTGCCACACAGACTGGGTCTCCCGGGGACACAGCAGCGCCTCTGGCTGCAGAGGGGATGGGAAGGGCCCCTCACAGCAGCAGATGTGGCTCTGGTTCACAAGGCTGGGCCTCCGACGCCGGCAGGCCACTGCTGCCAGCAGCATGCTGTTGCTCATCTCCCGACACCACCAACACTGAAACATGCCAGCTACAGATGCTTCCTGGTGCTGAGAAAGCTAACCTGGGCTTGGCAAACACGGGAAAGCATTTTTTGCTGAATTTCTTTTGCCTCTAGGGTGAGAACTTCCAGAGGAGCAGAAGAAAAGAAGTAACAACTGCTTTGTGCAAGGCCAGGTGAGGCTCCATCGCCTCTTTCCTGCACCTCTGAAGGGGTGGCACAGTGTAACTGCTCGGCAGGGTGACATCAAGCTCTGAGAAGGGTCCTGGAGGGCTGAGAAAAGATCATCCTCTGCCCAAGAAGGGGTGAGGAGGACAGCCAGGGTCACGTGTCTGCTGTCACTCCTCTGGGAGAAGCCTGCTGCTCTCACGCCTCACCGAGAGCCTGGCTCCCTCAGGTGCTTTGCCGACAGTTATTCCTAAGAGCAGGCAGGAACCAAGCAGGGCTGGAGCTCTGCCTGATTCCCGTTCCCAGACCGATGGTGGCCTGAGGCCTCTGCGGGCACTGTGGAGTTTTGGAGGAGTACAGGCAAAGCACAGGCAATTCCCATTCACCTATTCTAATCCCTGAAACTTCCTGCCTCTCTGCCATCAGGAGACATGCAGCCAGGTAGGCCATCCAGCCCCTAGGTGTGCAGGGGCACAGAGGTTTTGGCACTGCTCATGTCGGCACTGTAGGAGCTGCTGCAGGGGAGAGATGGTGACAGGCCGCTCTGGCTGGATGCCAGGTGTACCTCTGAGAAGCACCCGATGGGCTGGGCACTCGTACAAAATCTTGCTCAATCCTTCCCTGAGCTGGGAAAGCCTGGCCATGCTGCCGAGAGAGGAGGTGCCTCCTTGCCCTCTGCTCTCCCAGCCTTTGTGCCGGTGCGAGCACCCACGTGGCTGCGGCGCGCACCAGATCAAGATGCCAGCCAGAGGAAAACTGCTTCCCGCCACATTTGTCTAACCCTAGAACAGTTCCCCGACCCAGTTCATGCTGGGGCTGAACAAACACTTTTTTTGCTGGCCAGAGAAAAGGGAGAAGTCAGGAATGGGAGCAAAAGGCTGGCAAGAAGGGCCGCCCCTTCCCATGGCAGCACCAGACCAGGCTAGTGTAAGTGCTCAGGGAATGACAGCAGAAGGTGCACAACAAGATGCAGTTTGCCCCTCATGTTTGGGGCACATTTAGGACTTGGCAGGAGGAGGTCCCCTGGTTCTTGCCTGCAGCACCTCCCCCTCAGTGCCCAAAGGCCTTTACTGGGGTAGCTGTAGAGGTTGTGTGTCTCACAGCCTCATCCTTCCACAGAGTTCTGGCTCTCCACGTCCCAGACAGAGCCAAGAGAAATACTTTCCTCATGCACACAAGCACTTTTGTCACCTTCTGCTCTTTGTCCCCCTGAGGGATCAGAAGTTCCAAGACTCAAGCTCCTCTTTTACTACAGTTTCTCAGCGTACCTGGCGCATAGGCTAAGCCAGGACATGCACGGAGCTGCTTGGGGTGGGCACCGAACCCAGCACTGCCACACGTAATATTTCCAACCTGCGTGGAAATCACCGTGCCAGCAGCGAGCCCTTACAGCTGTGCCGTGCAGGGAGCCCGGCAGGCCCAGCTCCCCCGAGGCCCTAACAAGTCTCTGGGGAAGCCTAGTCCGAGCAGACAGCAGCCGGCGGCGGTCCCTTGGCCTGTCCTGCGCCGCTGCCAGGCCTCAGGAGAGGAGAAAGGGACGGGAAACGGTGCTTCTGCCCAAGGGCCCGCGGCCCGCAGGCCCAGGCAGTGCCCCCACGCAGGCAGAGCATCAGGCCACGGCAACGGCCCAACCCCGCGGCTCCCGCGGCCCTCGCCGCCCCGAGCCCCTTCGCCTCAGGCCCCTCTCACGCCGCCATCCACCGCCTCCTCCCGCACCGCCTCGCTCCCCGCCGCCCCGGCCCCTGCCCTCCCGCCGCCGCAGCTCCAGCCCTCACCCCGGCCGCCGCTCGCCTCCCCCGCACGGCCCCGCCGCCGCCGTCCCGCCCCGCACTCACGGCCCCGCCCGCCGCTCCGGTCTGTTTTGTTTCCAGCCGAAGTTCCGAGCGGGCCGACTCAGGAGACAGGCCCCGAGCCCGTGACGCACTTCCGGAAGCCGGCGGGGCGAGCCCACGTGACGCGGAAGCGCGCGGATGCGGGGGAGGG